TCAGCATTTGGGATGAATAGTTGCTTATCTCTCAGCATGAAGTAGCTACCTCAGGAAGATGGTACGAGTTATTGCCACAGCAGGCTGTTAGTGCAGGCTTCTTCCTCTCCTGCAATCAGTTCAAAATTACAACTTTGTTCCTTGTCACAATAGAAACTCACTCTGCCATTGCCAGGTATGCCCTTCCTACGTAAACAATGCAGAATATTCACATAGGTGGCCAAACTGTCAATGACATCTGTCTTTTAAGCTTTGAACTCAGCCTGATGGATTGCTATATTTTCCACTGGATTAAAATGTTGACACAATTTGGCTATGACAGTCTCCCAGTTCTGTAGTTGCACTTTGATCAAATTCTTCATGAAGTCTAAAGCTGTAATGTCTAAGTTCAGAATCATACTTTGGATTACCTGTTCTGGAGACTATCTGTTCCAAGCAGCTATCTGTTTGAAACATTTCACAAAATGGTCTAAATCTTCTTTCACCACATCTTCGAACATAAGGGGAAAATCCATTTTGCCTCACTCACATGGACCAGTGGTAGCAGCCAAAGCCTCTCATTTGCAGGTTTCAGCCAACAAAGGTACAGTGTAGTAAACATATTCATGGACTTCAACAAATGGTTATGTCACTGGTCCAGGATGGTAGAGTGATAAGTTGCTTTTGGCAGCTTGTACATCAGCAATGTATAACCCCAGGTTTCTACGTGATCAATGATCACCTTGGCAAGATACATCCCAGCTCAAAGAAGCTTGTGACTTCCCCATGGTTCATCATTCAGTGCTCATTACCTCACTTATATGGCAAACAGCTCTGACTGGCAGACTTTCTCAACTGGCCTTATCCAAAGCTGGGGTTGAATAACTCTGGCTGATAACAGCCTGTGAGTCCTGTAAAGACTATCGCCTAATTGCTCAGACTCACCAGATACCACTTAACTGTGGCAACTCTCAGTTATCTATGCTTCCCTTGCACTAAGAGATATTCCCAGGGGAATATTCAATTTGCTGTTTAGTGTGTGCCAGATGTCAGCTGGTATTCCCAAGTATGATGCTGAAAAGAGATGAGATCAAAGTCATAGACCTTTAAACTACTGATGAAAATCCTGTGTCCAGAAGAAGGCTTCTTCTAGACTCAACCATTGGTATCTCTTCAGTGACCAACTCTCCCTCTTCGTCATGAGTAATTCTACTTGTAGAAAATACTATTCTTTAAGACATAATCATTTCTTTAAACTCAGTAACATAAGAGTTCAAATTACTGGCAATACACTTTTCAGCAGAAAACAGAAAACTCGGCAATAATATCCTGTTCGTGGCATTAACATTTTCTCCTATCTACCTACCTACTCTACAGTATTTTCAGGTGAAACTAATTTCACCCAAAAGTAAATGAAGTCCAGTATATAATGGTAAGTTTGAATAGAAAATAATTCTGCATTTCTCTGAGACTAACCTAATTTGTGCAAAGAAAGAGACTGGACATAAATATAAACAGTGAAAACAATATATTTTCAACACAAAAACAATGTGTTTATTTGCCAAAGGACAATCAACTTTTCAGGATAGAGAGATTCTAAGTTCTCTGGAAATCTGTACAAGTTGTAAATCTTCAAATTGTACCAAACATATACCAGTCTGAAAAAAACATCAAGTTATATACTTAAAGCTACAATAACATACTTTTCCAGGTAGACTAACAACTAACATACCCACGTGGTTCATTCCTGTTCTAAAATAAGAAAGGATGTAATCTTGAAATGTCACATAACCTACCATCTGAGAAAACTGCTGTACTTTTGTACAACTTTACAGCTATTATTCCCACTAGCAGACAAGGAATTACCTCAAGGAAATGACACAGAACAACAGGTAGCTAGAGTAAAGGAAAAATTAATAACTTTCTTGTCAGAGGTACATATAATTGCATATACACTAGAATAAAAATGAAAAAAATAATTCTATATTAATATAAGAGGATAGAAAACACGGTATAATACAGGGTGTTTATAAAGTCTATCTATTTCAGATAAATAATGGGTAACTGTGTTAAATTCAATTATAAAACGATAGAAGGTATACATTTATTGAATACTTAAGATTAAGGTTATACATGTGCACCATTAATATCTCTACAGAGCTCAAATCTTTCTGCAGCATTTCTGAACACATCCTGGAACATTTCAGGGGTTATTTTGTGAACAGCCATTACAATGCGTGTTGATGATGACCTAAATTTTATTTATACAGATACATAATACAGCTCATACAATTTTTCACTGATTATACTTTAACTGAAAATCTAGTTGCATTATAATATCAAAAATGATATTAGCTTAGAAGTTTAGCTAGAGGACATTTTGTTAGTAACAGTGATCCATCTGGATTAAATTAGGTTTTTTGCACCACATCACAACTTATTTGATGGAAGCCATAGTTTGCAAAAAAAACTAATGATAAGTCCTAGTAATCATTAGGTAAGATATCCAATAAGGGTTGTTCTTCTCAACCAAAGTATTAAAAATCTCAATACATTTGTTAGTTGCTGAATTTCATACATCTACAATTTTAGAGTGATAAACTAAAGCAGTGGTTCCTAGTTTTTCCCAACTGATGACCAGCTAGTTCTGATCTCTAAACTTCAATAATACCTTCTTACAATATTAACTATTTAAAGTACTTTCATATTACGATATAATTAAGTAGCTATATTTTAACTGTTTCGCAGACTGACTGAAATCTTTGTGGGCAAGTGATTGGGAACCACAGGTCTAAAGGTACGGTAGCTAATAAATACCTCCCACAGCCAACTCTTATTGTACCAAATAGTGGGGTATTTGGTAAACTCTGTAACCCACAGTCCCAAAGTTATGATATTTTTCTCAAAACACAAACAATGGAACCTCAGATCCACAGTCTGGCATGCTGAGCTCTTGCCTGTGCTCCAATATACAAAACATTTGGCCACGTACCTATTGTTTGGTCTTTTCTTTTTGTATGTTACTAAATGCAATGACAAGCCTAGTGATGATGATACTGAACTCCCTAAGGGCTATCTATGAACAGCCATCTATTATTCTTAAATTGAGAAAAGGCAGCTGGTTAAAACTTGGCCAAAAAAAAATTCTGGATCTTGTCTTGCAATTCAGCCTGTTAAATTACTTGATTTTCAAACAGTACTTTCAAATGAATAACAAAAATTATTCAATAACCCAATTAAAAATTTGTTTCAAAAAACTTTAATATGAGATGGTCATAAAATGAATGTTTCTAAAGCCATGGGTATAAGGGTGAGAAAGATAATGTTTACTTGAAGCATTACAGGATATGTTTTAAAGGATTAGTATCCATTACATAGGTAAGTGTTGAGTACTGGAGAATAGGGATAACTGAATATGTCCGGTATTACTCTCGATCTACTTTTACTGATAGTATGAACATATTTTTTGTGTAAAAAATTACACATTCATAAAATAAACTGATGTATTTCTTTTATGGACTCATGTTTTGATAGTCCAGTTATTTTCAAATGATTTAATAGTGAGACACAACCATAGAACAAGTGTTACATTTTAATTACAAGTAAAACAATACACGTGCATTATTCATTTGTAAAGTACAAATAACTTTTACAATATTACTTAGGAAAGCTATATGTAGAAGAAAAACATAAAATAGTATAACTCAACTTAATGTTTCATTGTTCTTGACACACTAGGTATGCAAAACAAATTTTTTCTAAGGAGCTTTTTTTCTCTCTCAAAAAAAAAAAGAAAGAAAAAAGACTTCATTAATCATAAACTTGATAAAATTTCAACCTAACAAACATATTTTTCAAATTTATTCATGCACATACACACAGAGATGGGTCATCAATTTCACATACAATATTTCTACATGTAAGATCCGAGTGTACAACCAAAGGATAAGAGGTCAGAAAAACAAGTGAAAGCTACATAAGTAAAATAAAAGGTTGTACATGAATGGTTCCTCTAACTCGTGAAGAAAATATCCCCTGAGAAGGTGTGTGTGTGTGATATCTTAATGCAAAGAACTTGAAAATCTATTTTACAGAGTGGAATAACTAGCCTGATATCTATATAGTGTCACAGATAATCTTATGGACAAGATAAATCTGTATTTGGACGTGGCAGTGATGGTGATTTTACTAAACAGTAACACAGACAAAAAAAACTTTAAAAAGGCCTTGTTACATACATGCTTATGTGCACTTGACTTCATTCATACAAAAATACAATTTACAAAACTGACTAATGTAGTACTACAAAACAGAGGTGCAGACTCCTCTGATTTGATTCAATTACTCCTAGATAAGTTAATATTGATGCTTCAATAGTTTCGAACAGAACTTGTTTGACTACAATATTTATTTAAATAATAATAATATATATGGAAGACTAGTTTTAAAGTATTTTGTTATTACTTCATATTCTTAAGTTATAAAGCTATAGTTGCAACAGCTGCCATCAACAGTAAGACAAGTCATATTTCTTTACTTTGATTTGCTATACTGTTGATGGCAAATGAGCTAGATAGTTGTAAAAACAAGGAATACATGCATCTTCATACAGACATTACCTTATTTCACTAGATAAAATAGGAAACTACACTTACCATTAGAACTGATAGAATAAAGAAAAAACAAGAAAATATTATCATCATTTTAAAATCTTACCACAGGGCAGTGCAAAAGTGGATAAACAGTTGTTTCGTTTAGACCATAGTTTAAATTCTAGCTATCACTCTGAAACAAACAATAATTAAATTGATTTCAACTGTCTTTGTAATATTTTCTTTCGTACCAACTTCATATTAACTTTTGTTTCACCCTGTATATTGATATTAACTAAATCCTCTGTAGATGTTTGGTTATCTAACTTTAGTTTCTCATTATCAAATATTAGTTTCATATTTGCTTCAATAAAAGCTGACATCTACCATGTCACTGAACTTCTTCATAGAACATATTTTAACTACTGGTCAGAGTAAAACAGATAATTTAATCAAAGTGAGTCATACATTTTGGTCGCTATCAGGACTACCAAGTTCTACAGCCAACATTTAAAGTAATTTCTAATATAGTCATCCAATACTCACTAGCTCTGGAATTCTGACAAAAGTAAAAAGATGCCACTTTTATATATATATATATATAATTGCTACAGAGAGATAGTGGCCATCATCTCAAAGCTCTGGTGTCACACTACTTGTCTTTATTCTGAGTTTCGGAGTCACTGAGAATAACACAATCACTTTCATCACTGCTATAGATTTCAAACAAAACAGGGCTTGGTGTTCTCAAGTCACGTGGGTTAGGTGCTCTTGATTCTTCAGATTGTCTAGTGTACAAAATATCTTCAACCATTTGACCTGATTCACTTGTTTCTTCCAAAGAATCTGTTAGCGAATACACATTAGTAATTTGTAATTCCATTTTATCTGCCTCAGTTATTTGTTGAGTTTCAAGTGCAGATGAAATGAGATTGATATCTTGTGGTACAATTATTACTGGCAGGTCTTCATTCTGAAAAGTACAATTATTAGCACTTTCTGCAACCATCATGTAATCATTCTGGCTTCCTGATTTATTTGCTTTTTTTAATTCCATATCATCTGCCTCAGTTATTTGTGGAGTTTTAAGAGCAGGGTGAATGAGACTGATATCTTGTGGTACAATTACTGACAGGTCTTCATCTTGAAAGGTACACTTATTATTATTTTCTGCAACAACCATGTAATCATTCTGTCTTGCCGATTTATTTGCTTTTTCAAATTCCATTCTACTTACCTCAGTTTGAGGTGAATAATCACTGAGATTAAGGTTTTGTGGTACAATTATTGGTTGAACTTCATCTTGAGAAGTACACTTGTAGTTACCTCCTCTAACAAATACACAATCATTCTTGCTTGTTGATCTATTTGTGTTTTGTAATTCCATTCTATCTTCCTCATGAGTAGGATGAATGAGACTAAGATCTTGTGGTACAATTATTGGTAAGTCATCATCTTGAAAGGTACCATTATTATTATTTTTTACAAAAACCATGCAATAATTTTGGTTTGTAGGTTTAAATGTTTTTTGCAATTCCATCGTATCTACCTCAGTCACTTGTAGAGCTTTATTTGAATCATGGGCAAGAACGATGTCTTGTGGTAGATCTATGTTTTCAGTGGTACCGACAGGACTATTTTCTGAATGGACTAAATAATTACTTGTTAATTCTTCAGTAATTTGTTGTTCCATGTTGTTTGCCTCTGTTGCTTGTTGAGTTTCATCTTCAGAATGGAAGATAGCTACTTCTTGTGACCCCATCACTGGCTGGTCTTGACCATGAATGCCACTTGTATATTTATATGGTTCAAAAATCAAATGATGCATCTGGCTTACGGACTTATCGGTATTTTGTAAATCCACTTTGTCTACTTCTGTTATTTTCTGAGCTTCAACAGCAGAGTTAAAGAAGCCAATTTCTTTTGGCTTGATTACAGATTGATCTTTGTTATGAAAACTACCTATACTGTTGCTTATTTCAAAAACTGTAAGATTTTTTTTACTTGTATCATATTCTGCTGTTTTCAATACATCTGAAGTCATACATGTAGTCACACTTTCAGTCAGTGCAGAATTTGCACGAATACTCTGAGGAGTTGCCATACAATAGTGGTCTTCATTTTCTGATGTTACACCACAGACTGAGTTATCATCTACCACAGTATCTTGGGACAAACATTCTGCATCAGAGTTATCCCGAGACTTATCTTTAACTGAGGAAACGTGTTTACTCTGAGTGGTGTATTCTAATCTACTGTTGCTATCTACTGGTTTATCACTGAGTTGAACATCACTAGACAAAGAGTCTGTAATATCATGTACTTTACTTACAAGTAGTTTTTTCTTTCTACTGTCTTTTGATAAGAAACTTTTATGTGACATGTGCTTTGTTTCTGGATGCACTTTGTTTTCGGAGGTTGGTGGTATGTCATGATCATGTGCTTGCTTTTCTAATTTACTTCCTTGGTTGTAAGCTAAATGATGAATTGCACTGTGATAATGTTCCACATTTGTAGACGAATGTGACTCTTTAAGGTAATTTTTACTGTTGGAAGATGAAGATTTTGAGGTAGGTTCATGTACTAACTTTTTCTCTGTATTAGGTTTAAAACCTCTTACTTCCCTCGATGAAGAGGAACAATCGCTTTGGTTTGTATCATCAGTTCTAGTTAATAAATCACTAAGTAATTGCTCCAATGTTACTATTGATGTTTGTTGGTTTGTATCATTAGCATGCACTGATGGAACTAAAAGATTACGAAACCCCAACTTAACTGGGGGTTTGCCATCACCTTGTCTCATGAGTATATCCAAACGATACATGTCAGGGTTTACTCCATGATTTATCTGAAAGAAGACAGGTTTATTGGAGGTTAAATTAACATCATTAAAGTCCTTCCATGGGTTGCTCCAGTGCTCAATGTTGGCACCCTTATCTAATGACAAGTTTGTTGAACCTTTCTGAACTACTTCAGGTGGACTAAGTTTATCATTATCTATAACCTGTCTACTGGCATGAAGAGATTCAGAAATCTTTCCTTCACTTACATTTGTTTTTTTCTTGAAACTGTCATCTTGAAAATACATCGCTGGAAGATTTCTCTGGTGATGATGAAACAGATCTTCTAAACGAACTAGTTTTACTTCACACTCAAGCATCTTTTCTTTTTTTATGCCCAAGTCAGTTGTTGGTGATGTCACATCATCTCTTTCTTTCCTGGATTTTTTTAATTCGGCAGAATCTTCTTCCAAATTTTCTGCTTTCTTTTTGTTCTGTTCTAACAAAATGCTATGGGCAAATTCTGAAGAGCTACTTTCCCCAGTTGCTTCTACTTCTTCATTGTCATTTATATTGTTGGATTTAGTTTCAGATGTTCTATTTTTCACTAAAATGGAAACAAAGTTATTCATTTCAAATCTTATTTAATCTATTACAACAAATAAAATTAAAGCCATACTAGCCTTTAATAAGTTTATAAGTGTAAATTCTAATTAAGAATGTATTTTTATCTGCTCTCAGTCTTTATAACATTTAATAACAATAATTAGTCACATCACTAATCTTTGTGCATGATCCTTTGCTAAAACATACATTTTTTTCCTTGTTATAAGTTTAAAAGTAAAAAATGCCAATGTCTATTTAGAGACAGAGAGAGCAGAAGGGGAGCAAAAGCTTTAAAAACTACATAAAACATTTTAGCATACCAATATAATGAGAATTATTCACTTAAAATGAAATATTGAAATTACAGAACAGTTACAATTTTGCATTGATCCTCAAACAGTATCTGCTGACATCCAAATTATTAGCAAAGAAAGATCAATCAAATGATATTCACATAATCTAAGACAGAATTCTTTAGTAAAACTATATTTAAATACAATACACGTTTTCCAACTAATTGGTCATTATTGACTAGCTTGTGAAACTCCACCTGACTAAATCAGTTTTGTTGAGTGTCATCTTGAATTGTTTGTGTCCAAACAGAAAAAGAAGATGAAATACAATTCAAACTTCTTCTAGAGAAAATACCTGAGCAAGTTGTCAGTATTTTTATCATATATGTATTGACAAATTAAATATTATCAAGACTGATTTTAATATCAGGTGAGAAAAAAACAATTTATATTCTTGATATATAATAAACTATAGCCACTACTGAAGTTTTCTCTTTGATGTAGGTTTAAAAAAGAAACAAAAAGGACAGTTTCAAACTTAGGAGTTACTAGCATCCTAAATATTACTGACAATCTTATTAGTTGTGTATCTTTTATAAGTAATTTTGTAGATGATTTGAACACAAGTTAATAATACATATAGGTGGTTGAAGAAAAGATTATTATATTCAATATATCACTACCTGGTCTCAAAGCTCTATTTTTTCATTGTACCTTTAAATTTTCACTTTCTCAAGATGTCACATCTTAACAATTAAAGTTCCAAAATCATTAAAAAAACAACAAAATGCTATACTGTATTACTTGGTCTAAAACACAGAAAACAGTTTATATTTATACAGATACATACAATACACCAGTGAGATTACAGATGAATTAAGCATTACATGTATTAAGAGTAATTTCTCTTACATTTTTCAGTTACAGCTACACATCCAGGGCATTCCCAACAGGATTTTGAATACTTAGGATCCCTACAAATAAGGTGAGAACCTTGAGATCCACAAGTCCTACAAACTAAAATCTCCCATTCACTGAAAATAAACATAAATAACTTTTTTATGATTTTTTTTATGCACTAATTGTTTTTTTTTTTAAACTAAAATAAATTGAAGTTTTTGGGAAAAAAATCTGCATCAAAGAATATTATAACACGAAATTTCTAACTCTTCAAATCACATTGTCCTTTAACCCTTTCCATGATACGTCACAGGTCAAAGGCCATATAATCAAGTTTGTTGACTCGCATTCAAAATTTTATTAAACTACTATTTCATGAATTTATATCAATGTTTGGTATAAAACTATAGATTATAATTCAAATTTTAGTATCACATATTAGTTAATTTCTTAATTTAAAAGTAAACATTAAAAAAAACAGCTAAACACAGATTTTTGTGTGTCACATGGTATACTGAAAGCAGCATTGGTTCAAATTAGATGTTTGCGATGTCAAAATACAGATTACCAATACTGACAAGCTAGAATATAAAATAAGAACCTCTTATCTTTTCTATTTGCTAAGATATCACTCATGTGCTGAATCAAACACAGTGGCCCCCCTGCCCATCTATTTCCATTTTTGGAAACGCTCCCTTATATACACTTACTTCTATATATGACATGAATAACCAATTGGAAGCTCAGAATGTCTCCCTGGTGGCATTCTTAGCCATTTTCAAGTGTTAGGACGCCATCTCGTTCTTTCGAAACAAGATTTCAAGGAAGTAGG